GTATCACTCATTATGTAGTTTTTACGCGACTTACTTGTTAATTAGTTGGTAGAAGGTGTAGCCCTCTACGTTTCGGCTGATTACGACAGCCTTCTTCACGGAGGACGACAATCACACACGCGCGACCGCCAGTTGCGATTGTCGACTAGCTCGCGCCGCTGCTCGCTGCGCGCGCGCTGAGATGGTAGGGGGCGCTGCAGTAGCCGCAGTTGGTGACTCTTGTTGTGGTGGATGCGGTTGAGTTGCAGTTGTAGAGTCATCGAAAAGTCCCGAACAAACTACGCTAACTATATCGTCACTTTTTATGTTGTCCACTGACACCGGCAATACCGTTTTTAGCACTGGCTTCCACGACGGCGATATCGACCAACCACCATCTCTATTAAAATTCGGACGACGGCTTATTTCAATGGCTTCCCGAACTTTGCGGGGCACATAGAACTTTTCCCTAGCCAGAATAGCTGCCTTGTCGAACCGAATATAGTGGTTAGTGTCCGTATCAAGCGAGTGTTCAGCTACCGCCGACGTCACCGTGCAGTTCTTCACGCTACGTATGTGCTCGGTGATTCTTGTAGAGACGTGCCGTTGTGTTTCCCCGATATAGCTCTTACCACACTCACAAGGTATAGAGTAAACACCTGGTCCGGATAGGGGCTCCTTATCTTTCGGTGATCTTAGCCAGTGTTTTACTTGAGTGTGGGGTCGGAAAATAGTCTTGATGTTGTATTTCCGTCGCAGTAAAAAGGCGATTTTATCTGTCACACCTTTTACGTATGGAAGATACGTTGGACGTCGTTCTACAGTATACGGCCTCTTTTTACTCGATGAGTTTGCGATACGCCAACTCTGGCTCCACTTGTACCCGTTGGATTCCAGCACCTCTCTAACGTGGTTGAGTTCCGACTCTATGAATTCAGGATGGCATAGACGGAGCGCTCTGTTTATGAGAGAGCGTGGGACTGAGGAGAGATGTTGCGGGTGATGGTGTGACTCCGCCCTTAGATATTTATCGGTGTGCGTCGGTTTTCTGTACACGGTGTGTTGTAAACGCCCGTCGCTACACCTCATTACCAGAACATCCAAGAATGGTAGAGTGCCCCTTTCCTCATCCTCACTGGCGGTCGCGCGTGTGTGATTGTCGTCCTCCGTGAAGAAGGCTGTCGTAATCAGCCGAAACGTAGAGGGCTACACCTTCTACCAACTAATTAACAAGTAAGTCGCGTAAAAACTACATAATTATGTAAATTCGTTGAGAAAGTACCCTTTCGCTATCGAAGTTGCTTCAAGATCTTTGATATTCATAGAACCTAAAACATACATTTACTTTTAAGAAAATTGAATTTGAATAAATACTGACTATAGAATTTCTAGTTGGAATAACTGAATTAGTTTCAGTTAGTTTTGTAGTAAAAGTTCCCTTTCGCTATCGCTGAGCGCCTGACGGAACACTCATAGCAATTTGTTTGTCACGTTGCGTATAATTTTGCTTCACAACGTGCGATCTACTGCGGTCCGTGTTAATCGTATTTCACAAGAAAAAATTGTTCATAAATAGGTACATGTATCATGTCAAGAAGAGCAGAGATGAAGAGCTGATCGTCTGCATCTATTGAGTGTTCATATTTTTTAGAATTCCGCCAACAATTTCATACAACATTTACTTTCTTTTTGATTACATCAAAGTAGCTTCGCATTGGTCCTCGTATTCCGCTTTTCCTTTCTGTTTTCCCCTCTTCGATGTGCTTCAGGGATTTATCAAGTAGCACATGGCTTACCATGTTTTCTCTTCTCCACTGACAAGTCTTCATAATCATATGAAACAGGTTCTACGGTAAATGCTGTATGTCATTATATCATCATCATCCCATATACACCCACTGCAGAGCACTGTGTCAATCTTGTCCATTGAGACCCGGACGATGTGATGATGTCATTTGATGTGCTGATGATCTGCCTAGGGTATATCATAAAAGATTATATAAGGTCCTACTAAATTCAGTGCAGATATTTTAAAGGTGTGTTCTACTCGTGAAACAAAGCAACTTTCCCCAAGGGACATAGGTCGAAATATGAGAAAAAAGATTGGACCCAAAAATGTACCAGTCGATCGAGTCAATATGTATGGGAGGTCCAAATATTTTTGTCACACTTCGACCTATATTCTTTGGGGAAAGATGTTCAGTTTCACGAGTAGAACACACTATGGAAATATTTGCACTGAATTTACGCGGACCTTATATAAACTTAGACCGCAGTAGAGTAGTAGCTGCAGATAATTAATTGTTGCGCTGTTATCACGCGCGGCCGAGCCGAATCAAAGCCCAGCTAATGTTCTGTGCTCTTCTATCTATGCTAATTTTAATTCACCTAATAGCCGCTTTTTTGTCATATTTCGACCTATGTTCTTTGGGGAAAGATGTTCAGTTTCACGAGTAGAGCACACCTTGGAAACATTTGCACTGAATTTAATAGAACCTTATTTAAACTTTTAGACCGCAGTAGAGTCGCCACCAGTGGCTGCAGATAATTAATTGTTGCGCTGCTATCGCGCCCGGCCGAGCCGAATCAAAGCCGAGCTAATGTTCTGTACTCTTCTATCTATGCTAATTTTATTCCACCTAATAGCCGCTTTTTGTTTACTGTCCAGCGTGAATATAAATCCACTGAAAAAATTAACTAGGTAGGTAGGTACAGTGTAGCTCAAGTCCGCTTAGATGCTCGAACCACTGATGCAAGCCTCAGGCACTACCTCCACTTGTGAGACGTAAGACGAAGCTTTTTCCATGTAAAATGTATGAAACAGACGATATCCGTAAGACGCCGTAGGTCGGTGTCACAGTTTGTCATCTTGCTTCTCACGTGTTAAGTGTGTAGAGAGAGAGCGTATTCAGAAAGAACGCTCCAACTCTATCGAACGTAGCCTGAGCTTGCCTGTACCTGCAAAAATATCGGTATTTTACTGAATTCTCCATCGTTATTGAATTGATCACATCCCAAATTTCTAATTAGGGTCTAACATAATGTTTTCTGTCATAATATTCATCTTGATCAGCCGCTAAATCTCTGTTTACAATTTATTTTTCGTATAAATCCCACCTCTTCGAAGTCGTTTCATTACTGAAGGTCGTATCTGCATAGATTCCCTTCTTCCAGATTCTTTATAATATTCCTCCATGTGTCTCTGTCTTCGGCATGTTTTAAGGCTGTGTTTATAGACCCGTAAGATTTTTTATTTCATCTGATCAGTGTGTTGGAGACCTCCCGCGCGATCGTTCCCTCTACTTTGCCCGTGATCATAAGCTTTTCTAAGCTATCAGTTTCACGGCGAGCTACATGTCCAAAGTAAGATAGTATTCTTTGAAGACATATTGTTGACAATCTTGTGGTGATACGAAGCTCTTTAAGAATAGAAACATTTGTACGCTTTGCAGTCTAGGGGATGCCAAGCATTTTCCGCCAACCCCACATCTCGAAGGCGTCTATAGTTTTTCTCTCAGAGGCTCGAAGTGTCCAGGATTCTACGCCGTATAACATCACTGAGAATACCAGTGTTTTTACCAGCCGCACTTTGGTTTGTCGTGAGATGTTTCTATCACGCCATAACTTGGTCATCTTAGCCATAGCGCCTTTTGCCATCTGGATCCGTCTCTTGACTTCAGTTTCGCAGAAACAATTAAAAACCAAGCTAATTTCGCTACCTAGAATCATATTAATTCCCACCAACAAATTATATCAGAACTCAGATAATCCTACAAAATTCAGTAGGACGTTTATTACGAAATGTATCTCATGAAACCGGGACAAAACGGTTGGATCGTATAATAATGGCTGGCAAGTGTGGAATCGGAACGCGCCGGCTGCGAGCGATGGTAAAACGAAACGTGAGGAGTAAGAGACTAGCTAAAAGCTGGGATGCCAAGTTTAAATAGCATCGCTCTACTTCTACCAGCGGCTGTCCTAAAAGCGACTAAGGAATCTTTCGGGACTGGGCAACAGAATTCCCTAGAAACTAGCTGAAAAGCCGAGCTTGCCAATCCACCTGTCAAGCGTGCTGTGTATGGAAATACCCCTAAATAAGGGGAGTCCTGTCAGTCGTAAACTATTGTGACCGTCAATGAAAACTACTTAAAACAACCTGTACTTTGCTGGGGTATACAACTTTAAAAGTTGAATAACTCGGAAACTAAAAATAATTGCGGAACATACATGGGGTATTTTCGTATACCCCAAGATGTGAGGAATCTAATTTCTTTTTATTGACGTCACTCCATGGACCACCCTGTATATAAAACCAAAACAAAATCAGAACCACTACTCATTTGGCTAATTACCGCTTCACACCCGCTTGCAACTCATCCTTTGTGCAGCGATGTCCTTAATTTCCCAATTTCCACTGTAACGCCCTTGCTAACTGTAAATTAAGGCGCTTTGCACACATAACGTCCGATCCAACGATATTTTTGCGCTGCATAACGCATGCGTTGGAACAATACGTATTTTGACCTTATTCTCTTAAAAAATATGTAGACGGGGTGGCGATGCGGCGAAGTAAAACTCTTGAAATTCTTTTAATTATTAATATTATTTTACTAAATAATCGTCAGCACAGCTTCTTACGCTCATCCATCTTGCTTGACAGAATCCTCTCTCTTTCACACGTCTCTATCTTACTCTTTCACTAGTCATCACCATGGAAATTTCATTCCTACACAAATATGATTTATGTCAAATTGTTCTTCAGTCAACGCAGCGTTGTCCGATATTGTTGCGCTGACGGATGCGTATGTCAAACCATTACACATAAACCGCATTCGTATAAAAATAAGGTGGAAAATTGTTTTGTTCAAACGCAACGGATAAGGCATAAATTGAAATTGAGAAAATTTAAGAATTCATATGGTTTTAATTCCTACTGTAATGTTGTAAAAACTACTAGATGTCGCTTAATCGTCGCTTCGAGACGGCATCGAGAGGTTGAAAGATTCATCAGGGTCCACTAGGCGCCCGTAGCTCAGTTGGCAGAGCGGTGGGATGGTAGGTACCCCACGGTCCCGGGTTCAAGTTCCGGCGGTCGCTAATGAATTTTTCAATTTTCTCATTTTCGTCCATAAGAATAATATAAGCACTGTGAGTGCATTAAAAGTCCCATCCAATGCACGTACCTATAGCGCTGCGCAAAAGTAACGAATTGACGGACGATATGTGTGTCTAGCCCCTAACAGACGCGGCCGCCGGGAGCCGGTGCGGAACTGCGGACGAATTCATAAAATTCAAAAAGAGAATATACACCTGCCATATTTTTCACACCTACAAAAATATTTCAGCTTTGACACTTGGCTTTTGGTACTGTAAATATTGCAGGATATTTTTTATTTAAAAGTGGCGTTTAAAAGTGCCTTTGATATTGGATTTCGTTGTTATTGTATTCTCTTGCACCTTTTTTATGCTGTTGCATCTATAATATGAACGACATCGTCAAATAGATTTCGATCGAGTCTCTTTTTTCTTGGAATTGAGGTACCTATTTTCTGGAAGTAAAAAGTTACCTATTAACTCAGGTATAACGTTAGGTACGTTATAACTACTAGTTCCGGGGAGTTTAGTATGAAAAACTTAAAACCACAAATATTTATTTTGCAGTAACAGTTTTTCACTGCCACTTACGCTCTGCCTACTCCGAAAGGGATATAGGCGTGATATATTTATGTCTGTATGAAGCAGGATATTTCCCCGCAAACATATTCTTAAAATTGACACATCAAACAGGAAAATCTCTCAATATCCTCAAAATCTTCGAGAGCTTTTGAAAATGCAATAACAGTCAGCCATTTGGCCTACTTCCCGCTATACCCTCATGCACATTGCACATGCACCCGATTTGAGAATATTGCATCCGCGAGAATATCGAAAACAATATTCACTGAAGTGCATAAAAAGCATATAAAAAGGATAAAACGGAGATTGCTTGTGCATATAGTAGAGATAGAAGCATATAGTAGAGATCATGGTTGTTAATACACACAAGCCAATTTATTTGACGTATTTAAGGGTCTTTCCCGCGTTGAAAGTCACGTAATATTGAGCTAATAATTGTGATAGATAGCTGGCTACCATTGAAAGTCCTTAATTTAATTCCGCATATATACAGATGTGTTTCTGAACTTAACTTGTAAATATTTTCTTATAATCGTTACTGTCCTGACAAAGTTACTTTTTGTTAAATTTACACAGCACATACTAACGTCTCGAGCTATAAATAAGTAAAGTGTCAATATACTTAACCCACTTGCTACTACTTACATCAAACGCTGCGATCAAATGAATTCTACTTTACAAGCTAAAATATCACCAACCCAAACATGAAAGTAGAGCAACCCACCATTCTCCATGACACAGTGATATAATTTTCACCGCATTTCACAAGAAGAAAATACTTTCAACTCCCGGTGTGATATCTGTTTACTTGTGGATTTCTGACGTAACTCGTAAAGCAAAGATTTTCTTTATGCTGCGAACCACAGTGTAAATTTGAACTGGCTTGAGCTCCAGTAATTAATTTCAAAGATATAAGGCACTAAAGCTCTTTAAAAGAACGTCGTATCTCGAGCACCTTTTCAATTTACTACAAAAACTTACGGCACAAGTTGGATCCTAGCTTTAAACGTAGTGCAGGTATTTTCCTGTTCTGAAATTGGAACCGAAATGAAATAGCTCTTACAATGGCTCTACAAGAAATGAGTTTACTTTGACCAGTTATACTCTAGTGTTTGCAATTATTGGGTTAGATAGTGGATATAGATATCTACTCATATGATATGAAGGCTATTGTGCGTACAAGCTACTGAAAAATTAGTACCGACATAAACAAAACTTTATTCATCGAAAGAAAGGAATTTACGTTTAGTTGTAGATGTAGTTTATTTATTTTCGATTTGTAGGAAATACCCTTAATTTCATATCATATCATAAAGTATTCAGACACTTTGAAAATCCGCACTTATTCCTTGTAACGAGCTTATTCCTTGTTTATATTTTTTATTTTAGAAGACCCATTATTTCTGTATTTTAGTGTAATTTTCATTTCACATCTATTTGGAGGGTCCAAAATTAAGATAAGATTCTCGTCTTATTTATTGAATGTAACAGTCGCAAACTCAATCAAAGTTTCGAGTAGTTATACACCGAACGCTTGAGAGCGTGAAATGCTTAATTCGACTATTTGGCAGTTGTCCAGTGAGCCACTTCGTTGCGGAGTTGAAAGCTTCAACTTCAAGTCTGACTTGTTACGTGTTGTTTCAACTGCTAATAGGATTAGTGTTTAACAACTTGTTTTCTTCTGTTTCAGGTATGTGCTGAAAGTTTAAGAAGTAATAAGTACTTTTTAGCAGGTCCCATCTGTTGTGGAACAAGAGGGTTTTTTAGTGGAGGGAGGCCACGTCTTGACAAGCGTAGCGTAGGACGCCCTCCGGTCAGGTGGGCCGGTAAGTTAAAAGTAGCTACTGGTGGCGACTGGATGTTGAAAACAGGATATCGTGCCTTTGGAGGGTACGCCTAAAAGGGTACGCCCGTAAGAGGCCTACATCCAACAGTGGACTCCTATAGGCTGATGTGATAATGTTATGCGAACTTGTAGCGATTTATAAATTACTTACAATGTGCTTTGTTTTTGTTCAAAGTAGTATTCTATATTTAATATATTTATGACATTTAATGTATGTTCCATAACCTCCTGGGACCCCAGGTCCTCAGGCGCCAGAACTCAGGAGGATAAACATTGTTTAACCTTAGGTTAGGAAATTTACAAATGTTTATTAAACAATCAAAAATATCTAAAAATAAGTAGGTCAAGTCATAATGGATGAATGTATTTGAATTTTACACTAGCTGTTTTCAGTGCACGTGAAGCTTACGGAAGAATGCCAAAAATTTCCTTATTAAACGAAACGTAACCGAATTAAAAAGTTAAATCGTACCCCTTATAATCACGTAGGAATTAGGCACGCGAGTTCCAGTTTGTTACACAGAAACAAATAAAAACGAAATCGCCGCGGTTGGGTTACATTACAAACACAAAAAGGATGTTTTATGTAAAAAATGTTTTAAAGCTTCAACTGCCTGGGACCGAGGGACCCATCGGGTGGTTTGTATTTGCTACGATGTATCTACATATCGCTACGATCTACCCGTAGCTTAATCGTAGCATGTTTTTCGTACACAGGCTCCGAGTATTGTCCATAGTTATACTTCGAATTAATATTTATGGATAAGAATGAGGGATCAAACGATATTCTACGCATTAACTAGATCAAGCTGGGTACTGCCCATTTCATTATCGCGCTATTTATACTCGTAAGTAGGTACATAAATCTTTTCTAGAGGTACTTTTTTCTACCGAATTAAAAAGATTCGTTTTACCGAGAACATAAACAAATGACCTGTCAAAGCACTAATTTCGAGCATTTCATTTATAGCTTTGACCTCCAGAAACTTCGGGATGTCATATATTTATCCCACCAAAAACATAAATGTGAAAATTGGTAGCCAAGTTCAATGATCTGCCGAAAAAAGTATTGATATGAACATGGTCGCCAAGTTCAGTAAACATTCCTGAAATTAATTTCTTTATAAGGTCGCTTAAGATTCTTTACTAAAATAAAACAAACACCTTAAAATCTAGAGCACCTTACAGTTTGACTGGGCTAGTTTTCACAATTTCCTAATTGTTTAATATCTTGTTTATTATCTACTCTAATCAATATTTGAAGTCCTATTAAAAACTAGCCAAGCAAAACTGTGAGGTGCTCTAGATTTTAAGGTGTTTGTTTTATTTTAGTAAAGAATCTTAAGCGACCTTATAAAGAAATTAATTTCAGGAATGTTTACTGAACTTGGCGACCATGTTCATATCAATACTTTTTTCGGCAGATCATTGAACTTGGCTACCAATTTTCACATTTATGTTTTTGGTGGGATATCATTACTTTTTGTTAGTGCTAAAGACGATACAAAGACTTTTAAAACATTTGACTTTTCTGCGGTTCTGTTAATTTTCTTGGACTTTTGACACACTTGAACGCATTGCCCATTCGTAACACTAACATTTTTTTTGCGTTTTCTGCTTATTGTTAAACTTTCTAAATCAGGGCGGTAAAGAGTTCGCAGGCGATTGTACTCTATTATAGAAGTCTCTTGCGCTTTAATTTGGATTTTAACATCCTGCATACATCCACTTTTAACACCCTGTATATAGCCACTTTTTACACCCTGTATATAGCCACTTTTAACACCCTGTATACATTCACTATTAACACCTTGTATACATCCATGATACTTTTAACATCCTGTACACATCCACTTTTGGCACCCTGCATACATCCACTTTTAACACCCTGTATACATCCATGATACTTTTAACACCCTGTAAACATCCACTTTTAACACCCTGTACACAGTACACACCCACTTTTAGCACCCTGTATACATCCACTTTTAACATCATGTATACATCCACTTTTAACACCCTGTATACATCCATGATACTTTTAACACCCTGTATATATCCACTCTTAACACCCTGTACACATCCACTTTCAACACCCTACACACATTTTGAACACCTTGTATACCCATGATATTTTAAACACCCTGTATACATCAACTAATAACACCCTATATACATCCACTCTAGAACTAACCTGCTGAGTAGCTCTACTCTTCGTTATTATCTACAGTTCATCAAAATAAATATTCATTCAAATCTTACTCGGTCGGTACTAAAGACCAATTTACCTTTGCCGCTGCGAAAATAAAATCCCATACATTGTATATGGGAGTTTCAGAAGTTTAGCTGCAAATATAAGTTTGTAATCACCCTGAAATCACAAATTCGTAATTTTTTCCTGTGTATTCACATAGTTATCTAGGTGTATGCGAAATTTTAAGTTTCTAGGTCATCTAGAAGTGGGTTAGGTTTTTGATCTATATATATGTCAGTGAATGATAAAAATGCCGATTTTTGATCGTCAATATTTTCATAACCGTTCAACCTATGTTTATGAAATTTTGTATACTAGGTC